CTATTCAATGCAATATCGCCAGATACTAATACCAATACAGCTGATACATYAAATATTTGGTTTAAAGGGAAAATTCCAACATCTAAATAATGGCATCATTAAATGCCATTTCAAAACAGATGATGGCAGCCGCCAACTATTGGAATCAATAGATTTTGAGTGGGTTTAACACCCTTCCCAAGAACAATTTACAACCTTGAGTCACCCGTCTTCCCAAGTCGGTTGCATGCCCAAGAATAGCAGCAAAATGAGGCGGTTTTGACTCAACAATGTCAAAAATAGAGGCTGTTATCACCAAATTCCTTATCTCTAAATAATTTCAGAACAGAAAATAGAATAAATGAGGAATTTGGGTTAGCAAGCTACAAGATGTGAGAAAATATTTAGAGGCGCATGCAGACCCAAATCACCCGAATGTGATATCGGCCTTATATGCAAGAACTCTCTTCTTCTCTTTGGGATTAAAAGATTCCTTGGGTCACAGATTACCATTTGATGAAGACACATGTAAGTCTTCGATGGATAATCTCATCATCTTTAATTCTCGAAACTTGTGTTGAGCAGGAAGAGAAATTTGGAATTTAAGCACTAAAAGAGGAATAGATGGCTTTTAGAACATACCTTTTTGAAGACGAGGTAGATATGAGCGACCCGAACAGGGCAGAATTCCTAAACTTGCAGGGAGAAGAGTTCGGCATGAAGGTGATGAATTTTAGAGAGGGAGAATCGAGAAAAAGGCTGGAGCTTTTTGAATAAAGGAGAGTTTTCAAAAGAGAAGGGAGTATTTATATGGAGCTTCTAGAGGAGTAGTGGGCTGGCCTCTAAAGGCCCAAGCCCAAGGGGCTTTTACTTCTCTAAGCTGAGCCCCAAAAATATAAAATAACCAAAACGTCCAAGTCTGGAAAAAGACCAACTGTCGTGCCAAATCATGGAAAACCAGCGCTTCAGTAAAAAGGAAACATAGCTTCTGCGAAGAGACACCAGAGCCTCTGTGAAGAGACAACAGAGTCTCTGTGAAGAGACGACAGAGCCTCTGTGAAGAGACGCCAGAGCCTCTGTGAAGAGACGCCAGAGCCTCTGTGAAGAGACGCCAGAGCCTCTGTGAAGAGACGCCAGAGCCTCTGTAAAGAGACAACAGAGCCTTTGTAGCTATCATCAGAGCCTCTGTAGCCGTCACCAGAGCCTCTGTAGCCGTCACCAGAGCCTCTATGGCTGTCACCAGAGCCTCTGGTTGTTCAATCCTCTGGTTGATCAGACGACCTCTTCAAAATCATACTCTAGATAAGGTTAATCCTAAAAGACTTAGTTTTTCAAATGAAGGTTCCGAAATATGGTTCTAACCTGAAAATCCAAAAGTGCAAAGTTGTTACAAGTGTAAATTCAATTTCTATAAATGATAAGTCTCTCCACCTAATTGGTGTGACGAGTACCATTATCATGGTATCAAGAGCAAATTAATCCCACCCTTTCTCTCTTCCCCTCCCACTGTCGTTCTCTCTTTCTTTCCCATCTTTTTCTTTTCCTGCACCTCTTCCTTTCCATGGCTTCTCCTTCTCAAGATGCTACCCTACCCGTGAATACAATTCTTCATCTGATCACTAACAGATTATCATCTTCCAATTATCTTTTATGGAAGAATCAAATGATTACTCTCCTCACTTATCAAAATCTGTTAGGGCAAGTTGATGGGACCCTTCACGCACCTGATTCGGTGATTCTCATCGCTGACAAGTCTATGCCAAATCCAGCCTTTACTGCATGGATCTCTGCTGATCAGCGAACAATTATTCTCCTTCAAGCATTGTTGACCGAAGAAGCGTTTTCTGAAATCATTGGCTTATCAACGGCTCGATAGATTTGGGTTGTGCTTGAGGAGGCTTATAGCCACTCCTCTGTCGAACGAATTCAGAATCTTTGGGATCAACTGCGCCAATTCTCAATGGGTACGTCCACTGTTGCTGAGTTTGGACGAAAATTTAAAAATATTTGTGATCAACTTTCTGCTGTTGATCATCCCGTAGCTGAATCAGACAAAATTCACTGGTTCTTGTGTGGCCTTGGTCCGACTTTCGAGACCTTTTCCACTGCCATTCGAGCCTCTCGGTCGCTCACCACTATCCGAGATCTTCTTACCCAAGCCGAGGCACATGAGTTATTTTTGCAATCTTTGCATGGTACTTCTTCCCCACCAGTGGCTTTTTCTGCTACTTCATATTCACCTGTGTCTCGTCATGGTCGTGGTGGTTGCTCGTTTAGAGGTGGTCGCGGTCGTGGGCGTCGTCCTCCTCATTGTCAATTATGTGGAACCAATAGCCACTATGCTAGTGCGTGTCCACATCTTTACTCGTATGCCACTCATAAACCCAGTTCCGATACTGATTTAGCCAAAGCTTTTCATGCTCAATGTCATGTAACGTCCAATGCCCCGGATTGGTTTGTTGATTCCGGTGCTACCGACCATATGGCTTCTTCCACGGCCTCCGTATCTCAACCTATGCCTTATGCTGGGAACTCTAAGGTTGCTTTTGGGGATGGTAATGTTCTCCCCATATCTCATATTGGTCAATCTATGATTTACAATAATATTAAATTGCGAGACGTTCTGGTTGTCCCAACGATCACCAAAAATTTATTGTCCATTAGTAAATTGACTACTGATAATAGTTTGGATGTTTTGTTTTCCCAACCTCATTTCTATATCCAGGATCGAGCCACGAAACAGGTTCTAGCAAAGGGGCAATGTGAGCAAGGATTGTATGTTCTCTCACATAAGCCGGAGGCATTTACGGTCGTGGCATGTTCGAAGTTAAAGGCATCATATGAGCTTTGCCATTCCTGCTTGGGTCACGTTTCTTTTGATACTATTTCTCTCCTGAATAAATTAGGTCACCTTTCGGTGACGTCTTTATTACTGTCACCTGTTGTTTGTTCACCTTGTCAACTTGCTAAGGCGCATCGATTACCTTTTGAATCTAATGAAAAACGTGCTTTACATGTGTTGGACTTGATTCATTGTGATTTATGGGGGCCATCCCCGATTACTTCAGTTGATGGTTATCGTTATTATGTTGTTTTTGTAGATGATTTTTCTCGTTTTATGTGGTTTTATCCACTCAAAATCAAGTCCGGTTTTCATGTGGTTTTTGGGGCTTTCCTTAAGTTTGTTCAAACACAATTTTCATCTAAAATTAAAATCTTCCAAAGTGATGGGGGCACAGAGTTTTTGAATCACCATGTACGGCGCTTGCTTGATGACRATGGTACTTTTCATCGTATTTCATGTCCGTACACTCCGCAACAAAATGGTAGGGTGGAGCGAAAGCACCGTCATATTGTAGAAACCGGTCTAGCCATGTTATTCAATGGGCATGTTTCATCTTCTTATTGGGTCCATGTTTTTTGCTCAGCTGTTCATATCATCAACCGGCTTCCCACTCGGGTATTAAATAATAAATCGCCGTTCGAGATATTGTTTCTTCGGGCTCCTTCTTATGATCATTTTCGCCCATTTGGATGCCAAGTCTACCCTTACTTAAGGGACTATGCGGAGCACAAATTGTCGCCACGAAGCCTTCCTTGCATATTTCTTGATTATTATGCCCAATACAAAGGATATGAATGTCTTGAGCCTGGCTCCTCTCGAGTTTTCATTACCCGGCATGCCAAGTTTGATGAGCTCTTCTTTCCGTTTAGCGGCACTTCAACTCGGGCTTCTATTCATGACCTTCGTCTAGTTGCTTTTTTAGACGATGCACCGTCTTCTAGTTTGCCATCGGCTCCTGCTCCAAGCCCACCTCCTACTGCTCCATCCGTTGGTTGTGGGCTCTGCGATGATCCAGTTCCTGTCGCCGAGGCCCAGTCGCTGGAACAGGCCCAGTCGCCGGATCAGGCCCACTCGCCTGGTCAAGCTCAGTCGCCCATCGATGCTCAATCATCTGTCTCACCAGATAGTCCGCCTCCTGCTGTTTTGTTTGATGAAACCGAACCAGATTCGCCGGCTGCCACTCCTTCACCTGTACCTCCTGTTGGTCATTCCATGATTACACGGGCCAAGGCCGGCATCTTTAAACCAAAGCACCGAGTGGATCTTGCTTACACTACTAAACATGGTGTATATAGTGCCTTATTTGCTCAGCATGACCCGACCACTTTTTCTTCTGCCGCTTTGCAATCTCACTGGGTGAATGCCATGAACGCTAAAATGCATGCTCTACGAAATAATCATACTTGGTCGTTGGTTCCTAGACCCATGGATCGCAATGTGGTCGGTTGTAAGTGGGTGTTTCGAACTAAGTATCATTCCGATGGTACTATCGATCGTTATAAAGCTCGTCTAGTTGCCCAAGGTTTTAGTCAACTTTCGGGTGTTGATTACTCACATACTTTTAGTCCTGTGGTGAAGGCATCCACGGTTCGTGTTGTTTTGTCTTTGGCTATCACAAATGGTTGGTTTCTTC